GCCTAAGGAAAGAGCTGTCTATTTTAAGTCAATGATAGTGCAAGTTCCCAGGCAAATGCTGTTGGGGTGCCAGGAGTTAGTAGTGAAGACCTGGCATGGGCAGCAGGTAAGAAACTGTCTTAAGAGTTTGCAAAACTGGGCACCAAAATGTGTAAGCAACCCAGGTAGCGCCTCAAGAACAAAGAAGCACAAAATCCGATTTCTGCAATCAACTTTAATCTTAGCACAAAAGCCTGAGAAGAGGAGCAGTTGCTGCCTGTGTGAGCAACTGATGCGTCTGCCGCTTTCGCCCTCCACTCGAACCCATGCCAAATACGATGGAGTCGTTGGGAAATAAGGGTTCACGGAGCAGAGGACTCTGCAGGGATCCCTGCGGCTGCTTCCAGGATGCCCTGCGGGTCCTTCCCCGGCCGGCAAGGCAAAGCGAGGCTTGCACGTCCTTGCAGATCGCGTTTCACACCTGCCCCCTTAATTTTTGACGGTTTGCAAGAAGTGTTATTAGTTGGCGTGGCTGTTTGTTGTCTGGTGGGCCGTGTGAGGCTTTTGCCCTTTTTGAAGGCTTTTGCCTTTTTGGCCCAAGTTACGCGTTCATTTCAGAGAAACTCTTAGGATTGTGTGACAGAAGAGCGATTATTCCTGACGAATAGACATCTTGTTTTGACTTAAATACGTACACGCTTTTTCAGTTCCTTAACTAATTAGAGTTTGCTCCACTGAATATGCAGCTGGTCACCCGAATTTAAGCTTTTAAAATCGAAACTGTTTTTTTTAACTTAAGGATTGTGCTCCTATGTAATTCCTTTTTAGATATGGAGGGAAGAATGCAGTGTTCTGTGCAGCTGTGCACCTTTTGCATGAGTATCTCTTGCACAGCTGTGCTAAGTACTCCCAGTAAATACATTTTCTGCCTCATTCCCAGCAAGTAAAATAAAAGATGCCTAATAAAATAGCACAATATGATATTGTCATTTAGCGTAGGTTTCTATATCATCACATATGTAGAGCAATACTTGGTGTCCGAGTCATGTCTGCATGTGCAACCAATTAGAAGACAGCAAATTTTAAAAAATACTAGCAGGAGACAGGAGAAGGATTTGAAAGGGATGGAAAAAATGAATCTGAAACAGAAATAACATGAGGAGGCACGGAAATAACAGAAACTGTGACAGTGTTGTGGGGGAAGAGGAGAGGGGATTAACTGAAAGAGACAGAAGAAAAGCAAAATTGAACCAGAAAGGTAGGTGAGGTGTGTTTAGCAATGAATCTGAGGAGGAGTAAAAAGGAAGTGGAGGGGTAATGATCGCAGAGAAATAGTTAGTAAAGGGAGGAGTGGAGAGGAGAGTTGCAGGGGTATGTTAGGATATTGGAAGAATAAAAGAAGCAGGGTAGAAAAGGACCACCCTGAAGAACAGAAGGCATCTTAGCTGCAGTCTGGCATCCCCTGTCAGGAGAAGATTTATAGATGGTGTTTTCCTTTCCTTTTCCCATTTATAGGGCTGGTGTGCTGATTTGTAGTTTCACTTGCTCCATTTTAGATATTTCAGGAAAGCTTATTGTTTGTTCTTAGCAGAGAAAACTTATTAGCTGCAGCTCACATATGCCTGGACTTGTGAAACATATTGTAAATATACTGTCCATTATGAAGAGCAGTGTGAGGTGTGCTATTCAGTGATTATCTTAGTATAATTTATAGTTAGTTCCTAATTGTCTTATTTTGGTGTTTCCAAAAAAAGTAGTATTTGCTAGATTTTTTTTGAGTATTACTGTATAGTGTTATTACAGATTGCTTTTAATTAGGGTTACTTGAAATTAAGCTAATGATCTTTCATTTCTCTTATAAGTTCAATATAAATATGCCATCATATCTACATGACTTTAACAAAATAGGAAACTTTCTGAGTTTAAATGCTAGGGGAAAACCAGAAAAAATTCAAGGTAATTGTGAGTATTGGGAAGGAAGTGTTGCATTCTCCATCTCTTAATCTTCAGACTAAGTCTAGGTACTCTTCTGGAAGATGCAGTTTATCTGGGGGTGGAGGGAGGCAGACTGAATTCAGCAGGGAGATGGTGAGCTGCAGTGTCAGTGTGTGTTGTAAGGGGTGATCCGAACATCCCTTCTCCCCTACTATACAAAAGTGTCTGGACAGAAAGAACAGGTGATCCTCCCTAATTATGGTGTCTGTTGAAGCTTCCCAGCGGCTAGGTGCCATGTACCCCTTTTCGCTTGGGAGGACACTGGCCGACGTGTTGGTTAAGGACAAGAGGTTGCAAGTTCAGCCGTGTTTGGAGGCAAACAGAATCAGAAGTTTAACTGGTTTGGATACATTTATTTCTTCGGAGAACAGGAAAGAAGGGAAAAGAGCCCTCCTCCGTTTCAGTACTCAAACTGCTAAACCTGCATGTAAACAGCACAAGAAAAGAACCCCGTGCAGAGGTTCTGAAATCCATATATTGAGCTTAAAGAATTTACAGAAGTTCCTTTATACCTTGTTTGGTATAAAGCGTGTTCTAAAGTGTTTTAAAATAATGTCTTTGTCTCTAAAATCAACGTGACGCATAATCGATCTCTTTCTTACTTTTAACTAGTTTCACACATCAGCATTGAGCACAGAATAAAAGAATCTATGAATATTAAATCCAGCCTTCTTAAAACAAGCATGATGTACACCGCTACCATCACCTTTGAGTCTGTTGCTGTTCTGTATGCTGCTCCCTTGGGGCTTAGCACTAAACATTGCACTCTGTTAAGCATACCTCGGATAAATTCATTATGTTCTTAGCGCATCATATTTGGAATTATTTTAAATCATGTGATGTGGCAAAGCAGAAGCCTTAGATAACTTCTTTGCATTCTCCCTTTGCCTCTTTCAAGGGGAGAATTGCGTTCTCCCAGTTATCTCTTCCTTCAGCCAAAAAACGGATTGGTTTCATTCTCGGTTTTGATAACTGTTTGCAGGATGCGTTCAGTGAGTTCAGTGTCACTGGTCATTTTTGCACAAGTGGTTTGGCATGTTTCAGCTAGCTGAAACTTAAGTGCCAAACACTAAGACTGAGCGGTTTTGTAATGACTAATTTAGACCCTGAGGAAAGTAACAGGGAGGACTTAGGCAAAACTACCCTCTAAACTCTACTAGTAAGTTACATTGTTTGATCTTTTGCATGCTTAAAAGTCAGGCCTAACGTCTAAATTGAAAGATTGCACAAAAATGAAAAGACCTCACACTTAAGTTTTCTTTCAAATTGCATATAGGCTTATTCCATAGTTTTCTTTAACACTATTGAATAGTTTTGAGTTGTAACAGCCTAATCTCGATTATTCAAGCTACTTTATGCTTTCTAGGGAACTGCAGTTAAATCAGATTTTGTTACTGTATCAACTCTTTTTTGTTTGCTTTTTTAAATAAAAAAGACTAAATCAGCAATAATAATTTTCCTTTGCCTACAACCCTGAATGAGCATATATTGAAAAGTACAATGTAGTATTAAAAAAAAAAAAGGAGATAAATGAATGGCAGAATAAATAATTTATGCTAATGAAATTACTGCAATTAGTAGTTCCACAATGACCCTTTTAAAAGCCACAGCTGTTAATGTCAGGAAGTGCTGTCACTGCTGACCTTATCATAAGAGAAAGTGACAAATTGAAAATGCAGGGAAGACCAATCATCAAAGAGGTCTGTTCGGGAACGATTAGTGTTTTCTGAAAAACAGTGTGAATTACAACCAGCTGCTCTCTGGCTCGGTGTGTCTCCCATGCTGTGCCATTTTGTTAAGCTTGGTAACAATAGTTATTTTACCCCATTGAGACAAGTTGTCTCGGGCCACTTCCAGCTCTCCCGGAACCTACTTCTTCCCTCACTGATTTACAAATGAAACTGTTGTTAGAGGGCTTTTCGGGGTTGCTGAGTAGAGACCTCTCATAAAGATCATGTGTAAGAAGGTTATCTTTGCCTAGGAAGATCGGGACTGCAGGGTATGTGTATATCGCAGACAATTAAAAAAAGCGGGGGAAAAGGAAGGAAGGCTGAAACAGATTTCTCTCTGAGGCCTTTC